AATTTATTTGACTTTGTGTGTACGGCAAACGTACTAATGTAGCTTATCTTATAAGTGAGTTAGGTATACTGTCAAGAACAATCAGCTTATCAATGAACAATGAATCTTGTGTAGCGCTGCTTGTGATTAGTCACCGTTAAAAAATCTTTCAGTGCTTGTAAACTCGGTTCCCCTAGCCATTTGTTTTCTATCTATTGCTTATCCATCTATTGCCTGTCATTTTATTGTCTATCGGCAAGCAATGCCTCGACCCAGGAGCTGATTCTTTGTTCCCATACCATGTGCTATGCGATTAGTGGACGGAGTATTGAGCCTCCACCACACGCTTCACTGAATGACCCACACGGACCGATAGTGTCACAGCATTCACCCTCCAAGACGCTGGTGAAGGGCTCTTCAGCCAGGGAAATGGATTCACCCTTCCCCTTCCACAAATGAAGTCAGATTACCTACCTTTGAATATTTTCCTGCTGGTTTGAATCTTGTTCCCTAAAGGTCTATGCAAGAGAGAAGGTAGCTCCAGTTCATTGGATCAAGAGTCCTTCACCAGAATCAAGGCACCGCCCTTGGAATTGTCTAGTATAGGGATCATAAACAAGTTAAATATTAAGACACATGTGCAAAAGTTGGGTATCTTTATTGATGAAACATTTCATCAGTAAAGATACCCAGCTGTTGCACATGTGTCTTATTCTTCAACATGTTCGCAGTTTCATCAGTAAAGATACCCAGCTGTTGCACATGTGTCTTATTCTTCAACATGTTCGCAGTTTATACCATTTTCAGCATAAACGAGTTGGAACAGACTTCATTTCATATACTTCGTGAAGTGTATGTCTTTCAGTCTCTATACACAGGTGTAGGCCTTTCGGTGTATATACACGTAGAGATAACTTTAATCCTTACTTTAGGTATTAAAGTATTGTTGACTGGGGGGGGGGTGAACAGGTGACATATAACTTTAATGATTCGTGTAGTAGATAGGATGTAAACCTTATTAACCACCCAACTTCAGTCTGTTTTCTTGACCACATTATTATTATTATATATTATTATTATTATTATTATTATTATTATTATTATTATTATTATTACATTAATTGGGAACGCCAAACATTTAGGGGTCATACAGCTATGGGATAAATGGTAGATATTCAGATTCGATTCATGGAAAAGTCCAGTTCCTTAGATCCAGAGCCCCCCCCCCCACTCATCGGCATCAAGGAAGCTCCGTTGAGGGGTCGTAAGCAGAGGTCGGATATATTACAATGACTCCCCTGTAGTGGTGGAGGGGGGCTTTGACGCAGGCGGTCTTTTGATCCAAATAATTGGAGCTGCCCTGCCCTTTCTCGGATCAAACTTGATTAACTCCCATTTCCCAGGCGCTCTGTGACCCCCCCCCCCATCCCTTCCGGACTTTGAGATTAGCGTTGGTTAATCTTGTAAATTTATCTACATAGTTATACTTGGTGTATATACATAGTTATACTTGGTGTATCTACATAGTTATACTTGGTGTATCTACATAGTTATACTGGTGTATCTACATAGTTATACTTGGTTGTATCTACATAGTTATACTTGGTGTATCTACATAGTTATACTTGGTGTATCTACATAGTTATACTTGGTGTATCTACATAGTTATACTTGGTGTATCTACATAGTTATACTTGGTGTATCTACATAGTTATACTTGGTGTATCTACATAGTTATACTTGGGTTATCTACATAGTTATTTCTGGTGTATCTACATAGTTATACTCGGTGTATCTGCATAGTTATACTTGGTGTATCTACATAGTTATACTTGGTGTATCTACATAGTTATACTCGGTGTATCTACATAGTTATACTTGGTGTATCTACATAGTTATACTTGGTGTATCTACATAGTTATACTCGGTGTATCTACATAGTTATACTCGGTGTATCTACATAGTTATACTTGGTGTATCTACATAGTTATACTTGGTGTATCTACATAGTTATACTCGGTGTATCTACATAGTTATACCCGGTGTATCTACATAGTTATACTTGGTTTATCTACATAGTTATACTCGGTGTATCTACATAGTTATACTTGGTGTATCTACATAGTTATACTTGGTGTATCTACATAGTTATACTCGGTGTATCTACATAGTTATACTTGGTGTATCTACATAGTTATACTCGGTGTATCTACATAGTTATACTTGGTGTATCTACATAGTTATACTGGTGTATCTACATAGTTATACTTGGTGTATCTACATAGTTATACTTGGTGTATCTACATAGTTATACTCGGTGTATCTACATAGTTGTACTTGGTGTATCTACATAGTTATACTCGGTGTATCTACATAGTTATACTTGGTGTATCTACATAGTTATACTCGATGTATCTACATAGTTATACTTGGTGTATCTACATAGTTATACTTGGTGTATCTACATAGTTATACTTGGTGTATCTACATAGTTATACTCGGTGTATCTACATAGTTATACTTGTGTATCTACATAGTTATACTTGGTGTATCTACATAGTTATACTTGGTGTATCTACATAGTTATACTTGGTGTATCTACATAGTTATACTTGGTGTATCTACATAGTTATACTCGGTGTATCTACATAGTATACTTGGTGTATCTACATAGTTATACTCGGGTTTTATCTACATAGTTATACTCGGTGTATCTACATAGTTATACTCGGTGTATCTACATAGTTATACTTGGTGTATCTACATTAGTTATAAATCGATGTATCTACATAGTTATACTTGGTGTATCTACATAGTTATACTGGTGTATCTACATAGTTATACTTGGTGTATCTACATAGTTATACTCGGTGTATCTACATAGTTATACTTGGTGTATCTACATAGTTATACTTGGTGTATCTACATAGTTATACTTGGTGTATCTACATAGTTATACTTGGTGTATCTACATAGTTATACTTGGTGTATCTACATAGTTTATACTGGTGTATCTACATAGTTATACTTGGTGTATCTACATAGTTATACTCGTGTATCTACATAGTTATACTCGGTGTATCTACATAGTTATACTCGGTGTATCTACATAGTTATACTGGTGTATCTACATAGTTATACTCGGTGTATCTACATAGTTATACTTGGTGTATCTACATAGTTATATTCGGTGTATCTACATAGTTATACTCGGTGTATCTACATAGTTATACTCGGTGTATCTACATAGTTATACTCGGTGTATCTACATAGTTATACTTGGTGTATCTACATAGTTATACTGGTGTATCTACATAGTTATACTCGGTGTATTCTACTATAGTTATACTGTGTACTACTATATCATACTGGTTATACTCTTGTATCTACCATAGTTATACTCGGTGTATTACATAAGTTATACATCGAGTGTATCTACATAGTTAACTTGGTTGTTTACAAATTGTTATACTCGGTGTATCTAAACGAGGTCTCATGTTGGTGTATCTAATAGTTATACCGGTGTATTACATAGTTATATCGGGTATCTACATAGTTACTCGGTGTATCTACATAGTTATATGTGGGTGTATCTAAAGTTATTAGGCGTGTTAGAACGGGTTCTACATAGTGTTATACTCGGGTATCATTAGTTTAACTCTGGTGATCTACATAGTTATACGGTGTATGTGACTATAGTTATACTTGGTGCTAGTTACATGTTATAACTGATGTTCTCATAGTTATCTCGGTGTATCTACATAGTTATACTCGGTGTATTACATAGTTATAGCGTGTTGGAGTTCTTACATAGTTAATACTGGTTGTATCTACATAGTTATCTGGCGTGTATCTACATAGTTAGTGTGACGTTTAAAGAGTTACTCTACATAGTTTACTCGTCAAAGTATTTCAGTTATAGTTATACTCGGTGTATCTACATATTATATGGTTGTATTACATATTATACTCTCTCTGTATTTTCTTATCATATTTACTTCTCTATTATTATACAATATTACTACTTGTTATTACATATCTTAATACTCGGGCATATCTTACAAGTCTAGTAACTGTGACTGTGTTTTTATTTTACATGTCTTACTCTGTTACTATTAATATATACTGGCGTATCCATTCGTCGATGCTTAGTGTTATGATACTAGCTCTCAGTGTTAGGCGTGTAGACAACGAGGTTCATGGAGGCGGTTAGAACGAGGTCAGTGTAGCGTGTTAGAACGGGCTCAGTGTGAGGCGTGTTTAGAACGAGGTCTCGTGATGAGGCGTGTTAGAACGAGGTCTCAGGGGTGTTAGACGTCTTGTGTTAGGTGTTAGAACGATGGTCTCAGTGTGAGGCGTGTTAGAACGAGGTCTCAGTGTGAGGCGTGTTAGAACGAGGTCTCAGTGTGAGGCGTGTTAGAACGAGGTGTCAGTGTGAGGCGTGTTAGAACGAGGTCTCAGTGTGAGGCGTGTTAGAACGAGGTCTCAGTGTGAGGCGTGTTAGAACGAGGTCTCAGTGTGAGGCGTGTTAGAACGAGGTCTCAGTGTGAGGCGTGTTAGAACGAGGTCTCAGTGTGAGGCTGTTTAGAACGAGGTCTCAGTGTGAGGCGTGTTAGAACGAGGTCTCAGTGTGAGGCGTGTTAGAACGAGGTCTCAGTGTGAGGCGTGTTAGAACGAGGTCTCCACTCTACCTGGTCAACACACTTCACCTCTCAAAGATATTTCACGTTTATAGTCCTATAGAATTTTTTTCAAAAATATTATATATTTTATACAATTATTACCTCTCTCTTATATATTTTATGCAATTATTACCTCTCTCCTATATATTTGATACAATTATTACATCTCTACTTATTGTCATATCTTTAATGAGTATCAGGCGCACTATCTAGTACCTAACGTCAGCTCTCACTGCTGTTTTTTCTTTCTTTCTCTCTCTCTCTGGATATACTATTAATAATAATACTGCTGATCCATCGTTGATGCTTAGCTGTTATTAATGTCTCTTCACTCTCCAGGGTGCTATAACAAGGTGCTAGCAGGCCTTCAGGAGCTTGAGGAAGGAGCTGACCTCACACACCCGAAGGTCAGGGCTCTGCAGGAGGAGATGGCTCGCGCCAGGCACAGAGGTGACCCCAACGACGCCGAGACCAAGGTAAGAGGTCATGATTGTTAAATGTTAAGCTTGAACACAGTTGATCAGACTCAAAGAACGGTAAGATTCAACGCGGCTCCTCGAACTGTCACCACCTTTAAACACAACAACAGCGAGTGATGAATAAGATAAATATGCGACACTTAGGCAACTCTTACGAGTTTATCTCTTAATTTTATAATAATAATAATAATAATAATAATAATAATAATAATAATAATAATGCAGCACTGAGGTATCTTTATTGTCTGAACGTTTCGAGTGAACAACAGGCTTCTTCAGTTAATTAGAGGTAACACTGTAATTAGGTAATTAGGTAGGAGTAGTTGTGACATGATAGGTTTGTCACCATTGGTAAGAGGTAGTCAGTCCCTTATTCACGCTTCAGGATTGAGGGACCGACCACCTCCTACCGAGGACAACGTAAGATAACACCTCTTAATCTGTAAATGAGCTAAGGCTGAACATCAATTCTGTGGCTGTTCCATGCTGTGAAAAACAATACAGTCATTCATAAATCGGGGGGCGCCTTCAGGAAATCTTTATATAACATTAAGAACCAAAATATTACAAACCCGAATCCGCCAGACTCAAGGCCAATTCGTCACCCGTGGCGATTGGCGATAGGGTTGCCCACCATGGTTAGAGAAGTTATATTACATATTTAAGATTATGAGTGACAGATTTAAGATTATAGCCAAGATTACGAGTGGCAGATATAATACTAAAGTTATGATTACAGCGTGTAGAATAAAGATACGGTAGTTTGTGTACTGAGTGCCCACGCTATATCTAATCACCTTATTCTGTATCGCTACCCAAAGTATTTTAAAATGCTTCTCTTTATCTTCGTTATTCATCATCTAACTCTCAAGGCTTTTGACAGGTGATATTATAATATATATATATATATATATATATATATATATATTATATATATATATATATATATATATATATATATATATATATATATATATATATATATATATATATATATATTTCAACAAGTCGGCAGTCTCCCACCGAGGCAGGGTGACCCCAAAAGAAAGAAAATCCCCAAAAAGAAAATACTTTCATAATTCAACACTTTCAACTTACTCATACATAATAACTGTTTTTGCAGAGGTGCTCAGATACAACAGTTTAGAAGCATATATAAAGATATATAACATATCCCTCCAAACTGCCAATATCCCAAACCCTTCCTTTAAAGTATTGTCCCTTTTATTGTTTACTCTGTGTTCATAAAACAAGTGTTGTGTAAACTGTTAGATAATTGTAAGTAATTCTATGAAGAGAGAGAGAGAGTGAGAGAGAGTGGAGGGGTGAGGAGGAGTTATTACAGTAATTTTTAATTTCCCTTGTAATTTTTGAGTGCAAATCTTAATTAAGGTTTTCTTTTTAACTGGTTTTCTTCACACACCTGCGACTGATGATTTACTTGTCTCATTGTGCCAGCACCATCACAGTGTAATGCAGCTCAACAAGTGTACACGTGCGTGATCACCAGAACAACTCCGCGTTAAAACACGTAATGAAATGGTATAAAATACCGACAAGCACAGACAATGGTTATAAATGACCATAATTTTTAAAGGGGTGGACCGGTAAGCCAGCGGAAGGCCTCGGTCAGATGACCAAAAGCTCCAAAGGCGGGTCATCATCTGACTAAAACCCGCGTCAGGAAACATTTGTCCTGTTTCCTGACGAACCTTACCTAACCTAACCGACAAGCACTACTTACGTATATTTATTGTCGAAAGATAACTTTTCGACAGTAAAGATATCTATGTTGCTGATGTGTTTTATTCGTCACACACACACACAAAAAAAAACCCTGCAAAGACGGACACTTGGTTACACAAACACTTGAGAGGCAAAATATCTGGCCTTGGTAACAGCCAACACAGGAATGCTTTATCTCAAGAACACCTTAACAAGAACATTGGCAGGAAGAATACCCGGTAGCAGGAACACCTTAATAAGAACACTTGACCAAGAACAAGAACGCTTGAGAGAAACAATATCTGGCAAGAACTTTTTACCTGAGAAGAACATGTGAAGAACACCTGAAAACAAGAACACATCACCAGAGAAAAATTTAGTCGACGGCAAAAAAGAGATAAATAACGTTTCGTTCTGTGTAGATCTTTATTATGACTTAATAATAATTTACACAGAGCGAAACATGGCTTGATAATACTTTACACAGCGAAACATGACTTGATAATACTATACACAGAGCGAAACATGGCTTGATAATACTTTACACAGAGCGAAACATGACTTGATAATACCTTACACAGAGCGAAACATGGCTTGATAATACTTTACACAGAGCGAAACATGACGATAATACTTTACACAGCGAAACATGACTTGATAATACTTTACACAGAGCGAAACATGACTTGATAAAGCTCTAAACAGAGCGAAACATGACTTGATAATACTTTACACAGAGCGAAACATGACTTGATAAAGCTCTAAATATTAGGACGTGTTTCCTTAAGACAACTGCTGTCCCTGTTCACCTATCAGTAAAATACGTTAATGGGTGTTAGTCGACTGGTATGAGTCGCATCCTGGGACAAAATTTACCTAGTTTACCCAAAATGCTCTGCATAACAAGGGGCTTTCTGTGTTGTACTATGTCGTTGATGTCAGCTAGGCTTGTATACCTTGTACATGTACTTGTAGAAATAAATATTATTAATTATTATTATTATTATTAATTATTATTATTATTATTATTATTATTATTATTATTAAGTATTAGTATTATTAAACAGCAAAAATCATAAAGGTCATCACAGAACGAAACACTGTCACAATAAAAGCCTATTGTGTAGCTTGTCGACAGGTCGTCTGTATATCAGCCCAAACTTTAAGCTATATCATTTGTCACTAACTCCCTTTTGAGTCAGAGCGTAGAGTGATCTAGGTTCGATCCGCCGTCTGCTTATCGTGAGGCAGTATACACACATTCCCTGTAGATAAATGGGTCAATTATTATTATAATCAAAAAGAAGCTCAGAACTTACACGGGTCATATAGCGAGATAAATGGGTCAGAGAACCGGTAAGTTGATAAATTAGACACATGTACAACACTTGGGTATCTTTATTGTGGAAAAGTTTCCCCACATAATGGCTTCCTCAGTCCAATACACAGAAGGATGGTTGAAGATGAGAAGGAGTTTGAGGTAATCAGTCCCTCAGTCTGGAGAAGAGCATTGTTCCAAAGTCTGAAACAATATTGTTTCAGACTTTGGAACAATGCTCTTCTCCAGACTGAGGGACTGACCACCTCAAAACTTTAAGGGTGATGGACTGATTACATCGTCTTCAAGTCTCTTCTGCTTCTATCAACTTTTCTGTACTCGACTGAAGAAGCCTACTGTGTAGGCGAAACGTTTCGAAATAAAGATACCTAACTGTTGCATATGTGTCTTACCTAACAACCTGTCGGTATTTTATACCACTTTAATGTTCAAGATGAGAAGGAGTTTGAGGTAATCAGTCCCTCAGTCTGGAGTCAATCGAGATTGAGATTAATGGACTAATCATGTCGACTCCAGATTGAGGGACTGATTACCTCAAACTCCTTCTGATTTTCAACCATTTTTCTCTGTATTGAACTGAGGAAGTCACTGTGTGGCGAAACACTTCCAAAATAAAGACACCCAAGTGTTCCACATGACTAGTTTATCGCACCTATTGCCATATCTACTGAATATGTTTAACTTATTAAACAGCTTACTCCAGGTTACGGCGACGTGAATCCATTGTATAAAAAAAAGATTATTTAAGAAATGCGTAAATAAAAACTGTAAATTATTCACGTTTCTTATTTATGCATTTGTAGTTTGTATATATCTTGTGTGATGCTACCCCAAAACTATGATTACTTAAAATTAAGTCCTTTCTAAAATTTTCTCTTATACATTTAAAGATATATTTTTTTTCATTGTTAATATAAAAATTAATGGTTTTGTACCAGAAGAACTTTACGAAACTACTAAAAAAAATTTATTTTATAACAGGCTCAATTTAATTTAGCCTAATCCAACTAAATATATTTTATACAAGTTTACAATAATTTATTAATAAACAAATACAATGAAATGTATTTTTTCGTTAGATTCTGAATGATTTTTGCGAAATTATTGCATACACAAATTTTCGCTTGCTTATTAGGCAAGAACGTGCGTTTCCATTTAAGCCAAAATGTTAATGTTTATTTTTTCGGCTACGACATATATTTTAATATAAAAATAATTTTATATATATATAGAATATATATATATTTAACCATATATATATTTATATATATATATATATATATATATATATATATATATAATATATATATATATATATATATATATATATATAATATATATATATATATATATATATATATATATATTATATTATTTTTTTTTTTTTTTTTTTTTTTTTCAACAAGTCGGCCGTCTCCCACCGAGGCAGGGTGACCCAAAAAGAAAGAAAATCCCCAAAAAAGAAAATACTTTCATCATCATTCAACACTTTCACCACACTCACACATTATCACTGCTTTTGCAGAGGTGCTCAGAATACAACAGTTTAGAAGTATATACGTATAAAGATACACAACATATCCCTCCAAACTGCCAATATATATAAAAATATATATATTTTATATATATATATATATAAAATATATATATATATATATATATATATATATATATATAACACCCAGAGGCGCAATTCTCAGTGTATATACAATGAGTCTAATCTCTGTTTAAAGATTAATATATTCTTAGCTGGTGGTGAACAGGTTACATGCAGCCTTACTGACACTCGTGTAATAATAGATATGCTTTAAACACAAACACTTACGTACTTGCTTTCTTATTTAATTAAACACTTAGGTACTTGCTTACTTATTTAAATAAACACTTACGTACCTGCTTACTTATTTAAATAAAAAACTTTAGTACTTGCTTATGTAATTAAAGATATGCTTGCTTACAACAGGTGCTGGTGGTGGCAAGGAGGGAGAGTCAGTGGGTGAGGGAGCAGCTAGGTGAGGCATTGGGTGCTGATACCGTGGCTCTACTAAGCAACAAACAGGGTTACCATCAGGTCCTTAAACTGTGAGATATCATCCTTTTTCCTCTTGTCCTTTTTTTTTTGTACTTGGGAAAATTGGATACATCAGTAATGTGCTACTGCAGTATTCTGTATGATAGTTACCCCTGTCAATCCTTCACTGAAGATGGGTCACATAATATACATGTTGTTAAAATCTTTTAGCCTGAGATGAGAGAATTAAGTAGGGTAATAAGGATAGTTTGTTTTTCAAGGGAGGAGGGGAAGGGTTGTCTCGATGCCGCTGAAGGACTTTTGATCCAAGCAATCGGAACTGTCTTCCCCTTCGTTGATTGCCTCCAATTTCCAAGGCGTTGTTATGACCCCTTTGGATTTAGCGTTTCCTTATGAATACAATAATTGTTTGTCCCGTTGATAGTACTGTTGGTTTCTGTTATTTTTGTTGTTGTGTGAAGAATGAGTCTTATTAGCGTAAAGTTAACGATAAACTTAACATGGTTAACTCAAGATTTTATGATAACTTGTGAACTGTAATGTTATGATTGTAGTGTTAAGTTATTGTAATAATTAACTGCTTGTTAACTTATGAATGATCGCTGGAATTATAGTTCCTGCGGTTAGTTTCCAGACCAAACCTCCCTGTATGTATAGCCTTGCACCTCCTCTGTTTTACTGATGCTAACTAGTTTTCTGTAATAAATAGTTATCTGTGAGAAAGGAAATCCATTAGGAGACAAAAGCGAGAAAGATTAGTAGTCTATATTTCTATGTATTTCGAGCTCAAGGTGAGGTCCTCTTCAGCAGAATGGCTCAGCTGGAGGTCGAAATATACGGACTATTATTATTCTTAATTTTTGTTTTCTGTGAAATTTCCTCTCATTGATCAGTGTTCATTACACTTTGTTGCGCCTACATAACAATGTTAGTTGTCTGTGGCGTCTCACATCCTTGGGGATTGGACGCCAGTATATATATGCAGTCTATATATTGTATGTGTCTGGGCAAAATATACTAATATGGAATCAGATTGATTAAATCTCGTAGGGAATATAATAATAATGGAAACGAGACATATTACTTGGTTTTCTTAAGTTATCTTGGGCAAGTGATCCATACTGGCTCCCGGCAGCGGCAGCAGCGACTTCCAATCGCTGTATAGTCCTTGTGGCTTAGCGCTTCTTTTTGATTATAATAATAATAATAGCGACTTCCAAGCTCCGTACTTTTCTCCAACTATCAGAGCTACCAATGCTCCTATGATGACCTAGTTACAAGCAAAACTGCACTACCCAACGTAGCACCCAGAATGACCAAAGATTACCAACAGTGAAACCTACAAATCGAAAATAATAGAGATCAAAGGAAGACTGCCCACAAACCGAAAGCAACACCCCGCTGCCAGCCGAACAACGTAACCCTAAGTTTTGTATAACTACAACTTTTTAACTACAACAATTCCTGTAGTATTATGAGGCGCAATTTAAGAGGAAACAGCACCAAGGCCAGCAAGAAAACACCGAAAAATCAACTATTCAACAAGTGTAGCCAGGAGGACGCCGACCCAGCAACCACCCCTCTCACCACCGCTCAAGGCGACACCACAACAATAACAACAAACATGGCTGCCACCAGCCCATCCTCCCCTCTCTCCCCCGGATTCAACCTACCAAGTAGTCTCTCAGGTATGACCAACGATCCAGATACCCTAAAGACATGCATCTCCAACTTAGTTATTGAAAATATGAATCTTCGAGAGACGCTAACAAAACAAGACACCAAGATGACACAACTCGAAAAAACAAAATCCTCAGTCTTGAACAAAAGTTATCAACACCAGGAATTGACTAACTGTGACAAGACCATCCAAACATCATAGATAGCCATACCCAACAAATAATATCTCTTAATACAAAGGTTGAAGAAGCAGTAAAAAGAATGGAAAACAACTTAGATAACCAGTTCAGTGACTACTTTGCTCTCCAAGAAGATAAAACTGAACAAGATAAACTATCGGACCCCAGTAATAGTTAACAGTCCACTTTTTTCCCAGTGATATGAACCAAACAAACATTTAAAGAAATTACTTTTGCAGATCATAAAGGACCAAACAAGTGTTATTGTACCAAGAGTCTGAAATAAAAGAAGCCAGGTTACTAGGATCCCATGGTAGAAAAAAGTGTTATGCTTAGATACCACTCACATGACAGGAAAAAAAGACTTAATTATTGCATCTATTAAAGTAAAGAAAGAGGTATACATAAACGAGTGTCTTACCAAAAAACGTCAGAACCTCCGGGTATAGAGTCAGAAAAACTTAAGCGGGGGAATAACGACACAAAAACACCAATGCTTCAGGGGGGAGAATAAGACAAAAATACACCAATGCTTCACACGGGAGGGGAAAAATTTCTTGTTAGGAAAACAAATGTAGGTAAAACTGAAACACAATCACGAACGAGAATGATCTATCACGATTTCTCAGGGATACTAATCTTACAGAGAATAAACTAAACAATGTCCAACTTAAAAGCCTACGTATTGTAGTGTATGTTTTGCTCCATTTTTGTTCAAATTTCTTTTGTACAATCTCTTAGTAATTAAATAATCAACTACCTCATTTTGTGATTTTACTAGTAAGCATAAGTCACCTTATGTAATTTTCTTATTTGCTGTTGTTTGCTTAAACATTAGCTAAATTGATACTTTCTCTGTCCATATTACTACCTCATATTTTTTTAATACTATAAATTTTGATATTACTTACTAAAATTAATAATTATCATTTTACTAAAAATTTCAATTTACTCTTAACATTTTTGACATTTAATAACCATTACTTGTCTTAATTACCTTTACCTGTTTTAATACCACATTTACTACCTTGTACTGCCATATAACCTCTAGTATAACTACCAGTGCAATATTGAATGAAATAAACATTATTTTTTCACTTTTTTTGTAATCATTATTACTTACTAAAATTTTATTAAACACCATATTTACTACCAGTCAATTTTACTTTTGTACATTAAACATTATTTTATACTTCCCATAATATTTTGTTGCCAAATTTTCAAGTTTGTATATTAAAACTCCAACCTTTATATTATCCTTTGTACCTGTGTACCTGTCTACCATCTTACTATCATATTATAACCAAGACATTACCATTTTTTATTTTTTACTATTATTCTTTTGGTACTTTAATTGTGAATTTTATTTTGTCAATTTAAATCTAGTTTAATCTTGGTCTTGTCAAACAACCTATACCAGACCCTAGTGCAATTGCAAGTACCATTTCAGTTTGTATTTTTATATTATAAGTTTATATTATAATTCCTACTCTAAGATTGTTTTCATATCTTAGTGACTATATTGTGTGTGCAGTTAGTGTAATTTCAATTATATTATTGTTAAAGGCCCCTTTAAAACTATCTTTTGCTAACTAGTACCAACTACCTCATATATCTTTTTTTTTTTACTTTTTTTATTCTTTTGCTACCTTAACTTGTATATTTTATCTTGTAAATTTAAATCTAGTTTATCTCTAATTCTTGAAACAACTTATAAAAACACCTTAGTGCAATTACAATTGAGAGTCTTGTGCCTTTTTTATATTATTAGATTAAACTCAGTTGTACTATAGTCAATACCAAATTCATTATATTGACCATTTTGAAATTTTACTAGTGAGAGACTGGTGCTATTTTTAATTTGTTTTTTTAAATATTATTAGATTAAATCTAGTTGTACTATAGCTCATTCTAGCTCAAAACATAGACTCCACAAAAGTCATTATATTAGACCTTAGTGCAATTACAAGTAGAGTTTGTTCTTTTTTAAAAATTTTTTATTTTTATATTACTAGTTTTATACCTAGTTGTACTTTAGTTCATTCCAGCACAACACATAGACAACATCAACTTCATTATGTGTAGTAGTGACTATACTCTATATGACCAAAATACTCTAGCTATATACTTATCCAAGCTTCCCACCACTACAGATATCAGTACTAGAACTCAACACATAACTCAGGATATAAATAACCATAATTTAAACCCTAGAAGATGATTGATCACGTTGAACCCTGATCTAACCTCCAAAATTCTGACACCCAATCAAAACCTATTGGAAAGTAAACTGCCTTTATTACACAGCATCACAAGCCAGCACTATCCTAAACAATGCTAAAAAGCCTATCAGTACTTAAATACAACATCAGGTCCTTAAGCAAACACTATGATGACCTCCTGGCACTCCTTGAATCACTCAAGACACCCTTCTCCTGCATTATTTTACTGAGACCTGGCTTAAGCAGACACAATAGATTATCTACCCTCTACCAGGATACACAGCAATTCACAACTGCAGACCAAACCAAGTTGGGGGGTGGTATTGCAATCTATTACTCTAACCAATTATCTTGTATTAGCACCACTTGCTTTATTGATGAATATGGGGAATACTTTTTTTGTTTAATTTTACTGAAAAAAAACCTAAGACACCTATAACAATCGGTGCCATTTTCCGGATACCTCACACAAACATCCCGAATTTCAGTGAGAAATTAAAGTCACTAATAACAAACAGACAAATGAATAAGCACCACCTTCTCTTTGCTGGAGACTTCAACATCAACCTTGGCTACTGATGATCAGCCTGTAACTGATTTCAAACAACAATATTTAACAACACACTTCTCATACCAACAATAACTAAACCAACCCGGCTCACTGAGACAAATGCAACCATAATAGACCACTATGGACCAATATACTAGCCCCCCTTAAATCAGGGATAATCACAGATAGCACTACAGACCACACCCTACCTTCCTCCTGACAAACATTAATAAACCACCACTTGAATACAACAAAGTTCATTTAGACTCCATGACGAGGCCTCAATAAGGAAGTTCACAACTGACCTAGAGATTGGGTTTACTGGCCTACAGAATTCTCCAAGGCCAATGGGATTGATGACTGGACAGACATTTTTCTTAACAAATTACTTAGACTATACAACAAACATTGTCCATAAAAACGAAACAGATCACAAACAAACGGCTTGGTTGCCCATGGGTAACCAGCACCATTCTGAAATCCATTGACAAGAAACAAAACCCAAAATGAAAAGCAATGTAGGCAGGCTTAATACACAAAAATATTCTTAAACACTATTCATCAGTTTTTCACCAAAGTAATAAAGAAAGCCAAACAACTATACTACTCCAGTAGATTCACAGACACTAGAGGGGGATATAAAAAAGACCTGGAAAACACTCTCTCAGATTCTAGGGACCCACAAACTGGAAAAAAAAACAAGAATATTGTCCTAACTAAACCTAATGAAACACCACTACATCCCAGTGACACAGCTAACAAGATAAACGACTTCTCAACCATAGGATCTAAATCTCGCCAATAAAATCCCACATACTAATGCCATGCCGGGGACACCTAGATGGGAATTTCCCAAATTCCTTTATCTTGCACCAACTGAGCCCCCGGAAGTCACCGAGATTATAAAGTCACTTAAAAAAAAACTCAGGGAAACTGTCTAATGTCCCACCATTACTGTACAACGAGTGGCCCATATCCTTTCGCAAAGCTATTTCATTACTTTTAACAAGTCTTTGAAAAATACCCTTCCCGAAACTACTCAAGATGGCAAGGGTTTCACCAATACATAAAGGTGGTGACCCTACAGACTTAAACAACTATAGGCCAATATCAAACTTACCATTGCCCATCCAAAATCTTGAGAAACTCGTGCACAGGAGACTATATTTTATTTTAACAGCACCAAAACATACTCAACCCCTGCCCAAATTTTGGGTTTAGGAAAATAAAAGCATAATGATGCAATCATAAAAATGCTAGATCTGCTGTACACAGCATTGGAAAATAAGGAATATCCACTAGGAATTTTTATTGACCTAAGAAAAGCTTTTGACACAGTAGACCACGACCCTCCTACTCTACAAACTTGACCATTACGGTATTAAAAAGGCCATTGCGCTTGCTTATTTCAAATCTTACCTTACTAATAGGTATCAGATGTTACCATTAAAGACACAGCATCAACAACACGGCCACCTGATACTGGAGTTCCGCAGGGAAGTGTCCTTGGTCCCCTGCTCTTCCTCAAATACATCAATGATCTTCCAAAAAGTATCCCAACACCTGAAAAACCCCTTCTCTTTGCTGACGACACGACTTATGTCATCTCTCACCCTAATCTTGCCACCCTCAACACCATTGTTAACGAGGAGCTGATCAAAATATCGACTTGGATGACAGCCAATAAACTTACGCTTAACACTGACAAAACCTCTATTTATGTTTGGTAGCAGAGCAGGAGATGCACAAATTAACATTAAGATCGACAACACTCTAATTACCAGACATAAGAGGAAATACCAGCATAAGAGGGGAAATTCCTAGGCCTTTACCTTGACAACAACCTGAATTTCAGCACCCATATCCAACACATAAACCAAAAAAGTATCCAAAACAGTTGGGATCCTCTCCAAGATACGATACTACGTGCCGCAAAATGCCCTTCTCACACTATCCACTCATTATCCATACCTCGCCTATGCTATTTGTGCTTGGGGATCAACTGCAGCAACACACCTAAAGCCAATAATAACCCAACAAAAAGGGTGCAGTAAGAATAATCACTAAATCCCATCCCTGGCAACACACTCCTCCCCTCTTCATAGATCTAAACTTTCTCCTGTTTAGTACATCCACACTTACTACTGTGCAATCTACATCTACAGGGCCTTAACTCCAATATTCAACCTTGACCTAAAACGCTTTCTTTATAGTTGTGACAGAACCCACAGGCATAAAACCCGACACAAACATCTCTACGACATTCCCCATGTCCGACAAACCTTTACAAAAATTCAAAGTATGTCAAAGGCCTAAAATCTGGAACACCCTACCTGGAACTCTAGAACTGCAGACACATCAATCACCTTCAAAACTACCATTAGAAAACATCTTATCTCCCTGATAAAACCCCCTCAACTAACTACACGAATACCACCTGGTGGGTTTACACTTCACTCACTCACCCATTTGACCATAAACAGAAATATTAATCTCAATCTTTAAAATAATGAATCCTATGATACTCCAATACTGAAACTAATGTACTGTGCCAAAACAAAAGCATTCACATTGCTAAACTCACAAACTAGTATTTAGTCACTTAGCCATAATACCAACTTACCTCATAATTTGTAATATTTTAAAATAAAGAATTAAACTAAGTCTGGCCGAAATGCCTAGCCATGCTAGGCGTTCTAGTGGTATACTCTGTAATCATTAACTACATGTAAACCACACAACAACCAAATTCTGTAAATTCAACATTGTAATCTTTATAGAGAATAAACTTTGAATTTGAATTGAATTTGAATAAGAACATCTTGCAGGTTGGAGAGTCGGAGTGTGGTTGTGTGGAGTGAGGATGAGGGGGAGGAGGAGGAGGCGAGTCTTTGCAGCAGCTACCGTGCTCACAGTTCAGCCTGGTGGTGGAGTGGGAGGCTGCTGCATCACCATCCTCCACCTGTGTCCACCACTGCACCAGACAGAACATCCCTGTAGTCTCCTTCACCATCTCCACCGCTCACTCCCCAGGCCTGTACCTACAAAAATTGCTTAGATATAATTTATGGTTCATTCCAGTTTTTCCCCCTCCAGTGCGGCTCTGCCGTCGTTGGCAAGTGTGAGAGTACACTGTTCTGGGATAAAAATAAATGATCCTTCCAGATGAAACATCATAACCATCATTCACAGTGAAAGCGCTGTATTTTCTACCTCCAGGACTCGAGTCTGGCTAACCATTTTTCCTGAATTCCTTCCACAGAGGTTACCCTGCTCGCACTCGAACACCACATCACATCCCCCGCATCCCCCCCTCCCCCCCCAAAAAAGCAGCTTGTTTCCACTTGGATCTAACTCGCTCAAACCCCAACTCTTAAAACTTCCTTCACTCCCATCCCTTTAACCTACCTGGGACAGCCCCTACATTTACCTCGGTCCACCCTTGATTTAAACAATCTTGGTCATCTTGTTCTGCTCCATCGTTTCTAAATGGCCAAACTACCTCTCTCTACCACTCTCTGAAGTATATCTTTCATATCACCACAGACATTATTCTTCACTCCTTATTCTCGGTATAATATCCATACCTCACATTGCTCTCAAACGTTACTCTTCACTGCCTCCAACCTCCTTCTCGCTGCAACATCCAAATTTTCATTCATGCCTGAAACCCATATAAGTGTTGACACTATAATGCATTCTCATGTATACTTCCATCTTTTTTTTTATACAACATTGTAAACTCCTTCGCTAACTTCTGCAGCTCTTCTTTTTTAACCGTTTCCAGTCACTGCAGAAAAAACTGGACACAATCACAAAAAACTTGCAGTGCGAGTAAAAATTGTTATGGTACTGCAATATTCTCTAATTATTTATTTACAAACCGAACTAAATAATACAGACAAAGATACAATCTAGAGAGCCTCATTTTATTGGGACGGTGTTTCTCTCTTGTTGAAGTTGTGTAAATTTTTACACGGCAAAATGCTGTATCGCTAATAGCTTATTCTGCATCGTGTCTTTGTATCATTATATTAATGGTATATAATACCGAAAAAGTGATGAGTAAGACATGTGCAACACATGGATATCTTCATTGTCCAAACGACTGAAAAAGCCTGCTGCGCGGGCGAAACATCTCGGCAGTAAAGATATCCAAGTGTTGTCTAGGTGTGTTATTCAGCAGTGTGCCTTTGTGGTAATACCTGTCTGCTGTACGTTATTTTATGCACGTAGTACGTAAAATGATAACGTGTGTGTGTTGTGGGTATAATGGGGAGTTGATATGACTGGAACAATAGATGTCCATGCTCTGGTTGCGTTGTATTAAGATACAGTTATATAGGTCTGCGGAGCCGAGGTCCTGCCTCAAAGGAATCCAACTTATAACTCTCAGATCCCACCTACGTGCGGGATATGAAACTGAGAAGGTCAGCGAGTGGTTTCAAAAGGTACGTGAGTTGACACTAGGAGATATTAGAAAACGTTTCTATCTTAGAACCTTGGTCACGTCTTAACATACACAGATTAAAACGACAGTATTATATATATATATATATATATATATATATATATAAATATATATATATATATATATAAATATATATATATATATAAATATATATATATATATATATAATATATATATATATATATAGGCCTATATAAACTCACTTTAATTTGTGTATGTTAGAAGTAATCAAGGTTCTAGTGTTTCCTCAGGTGTCTTGAAACCAGTTTGTCAGTATCAGTTACCAAGGTTTATACCAGGTTGACTGAGTACGTACTCTACCAACCGTCATACTGGTTGGAACACTAGTGTTATCATATTACATATATTAACAGTATCGACGTGTGTGTGTGCAGCTGGTGTGAGAGTAGAGGAGGTAGAGCGGGGCTGCAGCAAGAAGCTGAAGGTTACGCATGAAGAAGAGTCGACCTGTGAAATTGATGGAGGTGGTGTTGGAGGCAGGAAAGGTGACATCTTCACGCTGGTGGCATCAAGTAGTGTAACCACTAACGCTGAGCTACACTATATCCTCACCTCCATCTATGACATCAACCTGGTGGAGAGGTGCTTAAGGTACACCAAATTCGCAAGTCGTAGCACTATGTACCAGGAGGGGTCCTGGCCTGGGTCTTCTCCATATGGTGACCCAATTTTGACACATTTTATTTATATCGTAACAGTAAAATTGCTTACTCAGATTTTCATTAACGATTTAAAAAAAAATCCGTTTTAATGCTAGAAGTGGCAACTAAAATATCCACTGTATATATTTTAACCCTAAAAAGGGGCGGGGGGGTAACTGAAATTCATATCTTAACCTTAAAAGGGATAACTAAAATTTATATTTTAACCCTAAAAGGGGTAACTGAAATTCATATCTTTAAAATGGAAAAATTGCTAGTTTCATGCTAGCACATCCTTACCGTGTTAAAAGGCATCGACCCCCCCCCTTCCCTTTTTATCCACTAGAGTTTACGCTTTCAGTGAGGTGCTCAGCTGTTTGTGAGATGCTCTTCTTCTAAGGACATAATGTTCTCTAGTCACGAATTTAGAGTTTTTCCCAGTTATGATTACCTCCGGTTGCTAAAGAGAGGTATAACCCCTAACGTGCTTTTACACTTCTCTAGGAATAACAATAATAGTAGTAGCGATATAATAACGGTAGAATTACCAGCAAAATTTTAGGTAAATGGACACAGATGCAACTAATGTAACATTTTATTGTGGCAATGTTTCGCTCTCCAAAAGCTCGCATGTGTGTTCATTTACCTAACAATAGTTATAACTTAGCATTAATAACTGGTTACAGGGACGTGGTTGTGGATGAGGATAGTGGAGTCCAGGCTTGGGCAGACTTACTCCTCGACGAGAGGACATGTGTGGTGCTGCAGCCTCTGCACCAGCTGCGTACTGACGCCCACCTACACCAGCTTACCTGCCAGCTGGTGCTGCTCTCCCTTCAGGTCACCACCTGTTATCTTATCCTCTACTCCCATCCGCCGGCTAATTCAGGGTACAATCAACTGTAGGGTGATGTAAAATTTGTTAGTGTTTAGTACACACACATACTATCTATCTATCTATATTTATATATATATAAAATATATATATATATATATATATATATATATATATATATATATATGTATATGTATGTAAATAAATGTGTTTCTTCAAAGTTACGTGTTCCGGAGCGGCGTGGTTAAGGCCATGGCGCGCCTGGTGGCTACCTGCGCCCTCTTCCGCTCACCTGACTACACCGTCTCCCTCCTGCTGGCTCACAACCTTCACCAGGTCAGTCTTTTTCGTAACTCCATCATGAAAAAAACTAGTACTAAACACCAGTGTGTCATACAGTGGTTAATCGTTCTCTGTTTTGTTTTATTCTCTCACCCGAGTACTACAACCGGTTCCGTCTCTGCCTCAACGCGCTGACTTTCTTGGGTTATACACAGATAACCTGCACATAGGAGAGAGAAACCTCTGACGATGTTTCAGTCTGACATGGACCATTTGCAAGTCACACTCTAACTTGTAAATGGTCCAGGTCGGACCGAAACGTCGTCATAAGTTTCACTCTCCTCTGTGTGGGATTATTTGTGTATTGTTCCAGTCGCGGTATTGTGCCTTTTTGTTCGTGAATTGTCCTGGGTGGCTAACCCTCAGAGTTAATAATCCGAGCAAAACCTTATCTCTTAACCTTCAGTAGGTCAGTCATACTATTACATTAATGGTGTGCACTACCGAGGTGCGCAGATGCTGCAGTTTAGATACAAACAACTCTAAACAGCAATTATCCCAAACTCCTCCTTTAGAGTGCCATGCATGTTGTAAAAGCCGATTAAAATGCCGGGAGCAATGGGCTAGTATCCCCTTCTCCCGTATAGATTATTAAAATAAGAAGTGCTGTAATGTGGTGACTTCAGTCACCACATTACAGCACTTATTTTTGTAATATAATCCTGCAGTAATACTGTTACTATTAGACATAAGATGACAACAGGGAAAAATAAAAAGGGAAATGCTTCGGAAGGTAATGCGAGTGATACACGTGAATATGTTAGTTAATAAACAATAGAACTTTGATATTTTCTTTATTATACTCTTAAAGAAGCATTGAACCCGGAGAAACCATGCAATGTTTGGGGAATTTGACTATAACTCAGTTTGATCCAGCATCAAGGCACCCCACCTTCCCTTGAAAAGTCCACTGCTTTCAATAATTTTTTTTCTCTGGTATTTTCGGATGAGCTAAGCGAGTCATATGTTAATATAACGTATTTTCCTGTAGTATTTCTAATTGGCTTTATCTCAAACTGTATATATTAAATATCTATATTTCTAATTGGCGTTATTTTTAATTGGCTGTGTTAATAATTGGTTGTTTTTCTTCTTTCCAACCTTGGTGATGACTGTAGGTGGGAGAGCTGATCCGCAAGGTGGCGGAGGCGACAATGGCAGCCTCCACTTGCTGGGACAAGGAGGAGTGGATCACACGACCATGGCTAACCTCGCAGATGAGCTCGGTAAGTCTTACTTTCCTGCACCCACAAATAACCCGCACTTGGAAGAGAGTAGATTACGACGCTGTTTTGGCCCAACTTGGACCATTTACAAAATCACACCTTGTGTGGAAAATTGCATTTAACTGAATGTATCATTATGTACATAACAGTAAATGAACACATAATTATTATTTATCAGTTAGACAAGTAGGAATTTGGGACACCTAGGTCGCAAAAAATTTCCTTCTTCGATACCTACCACTGTCATATCCACAAGTTGCTCTGGACCTATTAATTGTAAATGATTTGTATCATCAGGAATGCTGGTAAATATATAAATTTGTGGACTGTATATTGAAAATAATAAATGATTATAGATACACATATATACACATTTACACAACAGAAGGAGAATATATCTTAATCATAACACTCACCAATTTGACTGGAGATTAAGTTGTATCATACTCACAAAACCTCACTGTCTATACATGAAAATAACAACTGGCCAGAGTTATAACATAACAGACTTATCTGAGGTTCCTGGAGTTGTCCTGTCCTGTCGCCTGATATCTCAAGTTATGCAGGAATGCACATCCAACAATTTCGCCTCCTATTTGAGAGGTGTCAGCCCAATTTTAACCTCTAGAGCACGAAAATTCCTTCCCTTTACACTAACGTTGTATCCAATTCAAATTAACAATGGCGACTAACCTTCCCAGCCGCAGGTTTCCTATTTTCGATGACATACTTCTTTTAAAAATACAATATAGGGCATCTATTTACCTATAAATTACCGTATTTCCGGAAAATATATACAGTATTTTCCACACCTTGTAAATGGTCCAAGTCGGACCGAAACGTCGTCGTAAGCTCCTCTCTTCTATTTGAGGGTTATTAGTGTATTGTTCCAGTCACGGTATTGTGCCTTTTTTTTTTCTTAATAATAATAATAACAGTTCCTCAGCTGGTGCTGCAATTACCTAGAATAAAAGTCATAATATCGTGACTGGAAAAACTTATGTATAATCCACATATTCAAGAGGAAAACAAAACAACGTTTCGGTCTGTTCAAGACTTAAAAGTCTTGCGATGTGATGTTCCAGGATTGAGCGAAACATCTAGTTATTATTCTCAGTTTGTGATTAACGTTGAGCTGTAGCCACATACTTGCTGACATTTGCTTCCTGAGTCTGCTGTTGCTGCTGCCGTTTGTCTGCAGTAATATTATTACTGTAGACATCTGGGTCGTATAACTGTTATCTGCTGCTGGTTTAGGAGGACGCTACTAAAATATAAACAGTAGAAAAAATTGTTCAGAGAACCGACAAGTTGATGAACGGGACACCTGTGTTACACAGGTGTCCCGTTCATCAAAAAGAAAACACCTGTAAGGAAGAATGGGAATGCTAGGAATATACGGGACACTCGTGTTGCACAGGTGTCTCGTTCATCAAAATACACACTTGTAGGCAAGAAAAGGAATGTTAGGAATGAACGACTAACTTGTGTTCAAGGTTGTAATTTCAGCTATAGCGTGTTCCCCGATCAGATATACGGTAATTTTCTACCACGATGTCACTAATGCTATCGACTAGTGTCTAATAATCTGACATTATAATTATTAGTATTATCACTTTCCAGCACGAGCGGGTGCTGTTGTCATTACCCTGCGTCAACTCTATCACTGCTCAGGTAAGTCATCCCATAATTACTCTAATATCATGGTTTATAATTACGATCATTTAACAGTAACGTTAATAAATATATATTATATATATATATATATATAGTATATATATATAATATATATATATATATATTATATATCATATATAATATATATATATATATATTTTTTTTTTTTCTTTTTTTTTTTTTTTTTTTAACAAGTTGGTCGTCTCCCACCGAGCAGGGTGACCCAAAAAAGAAAGAAAATCCCAAAAAGAAAATACCTTCATCATCATTCAACACTTTAACCACACTCACACATTATCACTGCTTTTGCAGAGGTGCTCAGAATACAACAGTTTAGAAGCATATACGATAAAGATACACAACATATCCCTCCAAACTGCCAATATCCCAAACCCCTCCTTTAAAGTGCAGCATTGTACTTCCCATTTCCAGGACTCAAGTCCGACTATAAGAAAATAAAATAAAAAAATAATATATATATATAAAAATATATATTATATATATATATATATATATATATATATATATATTTATATATATATATGTGTGTATATAATATATATATAATATATATATATATATAATATATATATAATATATATATATATATAATATTATATTATATATATATATATATATATATATATATGTAAGCAAGTGTGTGTGTGTGTGTGTTAGAAAGCACCACTGACAGTGTTAAGAACAGATATTATTGTGCCGCATCTCTTGATAGTGTGAATGATGGTGAATGCGCTTCTTTTTCGGGTCACCCTTCGTCGGTGCGAGACAGGCCAGTGCGTTAACCACTTGAGTGTTTAGGGTACTAGCCTGTGAGTTTTAAGATTCACTTGCCAGGGGTTTAAATCCCCACCCGTTCCCTGATTTATAAAGGCTTTACAAAGATACCACACACACAGACGTCACAAATGCACCTTTGCACTACTATGACATGTGCAACAACTGGTTATCTTTAATTTGTAGACGTTTTGCCAACCAGTGGCTTTATTAATACAAGGAAATAATGTGAAGACTGAAGAAGTATATATGCATTATGTCCTCGTATTGTACTAACAGAGCCACTGGAGGGCGAAACGTCTATAAATTAAAGATTTCCGAATGCTATACATGTCGACTAATTCTTCATCTTGTCGGTATTGTATACCATTCATATATAACTTCTATGACAGAATGATTCTACAGCGAATAGCTAATTTATTAAACTAAATATGGACATATTTATAATTATCTTATTCCACCATTAAATTTTTCTATGCATGTATACATTTTATGTTTAAAATCATTTTATTTATAGTCATTTGTTGGCAGGTGATTCTGACTGCTATGTCACTGACAGATGTGTTAACCCTCTCCCTGCCCAGCCTCCTCACTGCCCTTCCCTGGATACCACACAAAGTGGTTACGGTAAGATAACATGGAAGAATCTGCTATATTGACTGATGGGTAGATAAAATGGTAGATACCCATATATTGGCTGATAGATAAAATGAAAGAGACTGGTACATTTGTTGATAGAACGAAAGACTGGTGCATTGGCTGATACGTACATAGACTGGGAGAGACTGGTAGAGTTTTTAACAGAAAGAGAACTTCATAGACTGGTATATTTGTACAGGTGTGTACAAAGACTAACAGATAGACTGGTAGGTGTCATGACAGGTAGAGTACGCTGTTTCCTGGGATCATCATTGACTGGCTTTATCATTCTTGTATCATTCAGTGAAGTGTAAGTGTAGTGTGCTACTGAACAAGTGTATAATGAAGTGTAGTGTGCTACTGGACAGGTGTATAGTGTAGCATGCTACCGGACAAGTGTATAATGAAGTGTAGTGTGCTACTGGACAGGTGTCATAGTGTAGTGTGCTACTGGACAAGTGTATAGTGAAGTGTGCTACTGGGCAAGTGCATATGGAAGTTCAAGATGTTTGGTAGTACACATGTGTAATACACAATGTTTATGTTATTCTCCTGCATTAAAATTTTTGTAAATCTATTTTTATATTGTATTATAAATTTCATTCAGATGCTGTATAAACTACTACATGGTGATGCTCTAACTGATAGCAACAGTTATGATCTCACTGAAAGATGTGTAGCCGACGTCACTTCTTCACCAAACAAAGGCGAGGAAAGTGTGTCATGCGAGACTATGGTTGTGGCAGCCTCTGAACACAAAAAGATTGTGGAGTCTTCTGAGGGCAACCAGCCGGAGGTACAAACCCAGTCTTATGCATATAATGAGTGTAAGAGCAACGTTGTCAGTGATAAGGCAATGTATTCTAGAGTGTCTTCTCTTGATGACCAAGTGCGCGATGAAGCACTTAGGATTGACGAAAGTGTTCAGGAAGGTTCAAGAGCAGCTTTACCTACGTGTTATATATATGATAACCCGGTTATTCCAGCATACAACACAGGGAGTGACTATTCTCACGGGGTTTACTCTGGAAGTGCTGAGAGTTGTGCAGATGATTCGAACTCTCTCAACCCGGTTCCAGTCCTCCCGACACGAACCATATCAGGCTCCTTTAATGCAAGGGAATATCTCAGCTCTGTTACCTCCTCCTCTTCTGCTGGTACGTCTTTTGAGTATCAGCAACAAATGCCGAGGATTCATCAGGAAATGTTGCATTTGCAGCAAGTTCCATTAGTACAGCAAATATCTTATCCACAACAGCAGTCACAAGTCTCACAACTGCTGCCAACACCACACCAGTATCAACTAGTGTCACAGTCAGAGCAACTTTTACCACACGTTCCATCAGTGTCACAGCAGCACCAGCCAACGATACGGGTGGAGGCAGCCTCGCAACAGTACCAAGCAATATCGCATGTGGATCAGTCAGTACCGCAGTTGCGACAACCATTGCAACTTCAGCAACCATTGCCACAAATGCAACGTACAATAGTAGAGTCACACCAGCCAAGGCATCAGGTACAACAATCAGTGCCACAATTAGAATATACAGCACCAGGACCACACCAACCAGTGTATCAGCTACAACAGCCACTGCCACAATTACAGCAACCAGTGCGAGAAGCATACCAACCAATGCGTCAGCTACAACAACAACCAGTGCCACAAGTCCGTCAGTCAACATCACGGCTACGAGAAGAACGCAATACACGTAACTATTACCCACAAGAAGGTGAAGAGTCACTCGTTGTATCGCCATATTTTCCCGAAGTGCACAATGTTTTCAATCATCCAGCTGGAACCATTCATCAGGTTACGATATCTTCTGTACAACAGAACTACCCAAATATGACGAGTGCTTCGGACCTGGCCATAGGTCAGTATTCAGATATATGTTTACAATCTAGTAGTAGAGATGAGATGGTACCACTGCATTCTCTTGAGGCCTTGGGCGATGGCAACGTCTCAGGCTATGGGGCGTACTGTGGCAATGTACAGCAACAGCGGCAGCACCAACAACACTGTCAACAACCTCAGGAACTCCACCACCAACAGCATCAACAAGAGCAACAACAACAAAAGCAGCAACACCACCATCACCAAGAGCAACACCGACATAAACAGCAGCAGCAGCATCACCAACAGGAGCAGTACCAAAAGCTACAGCAACATCAGCAGCAGCACCAACAAGAGCAGCACCATCAACAGAAGAAGCAGCAAGGCTACTGGAAGGACTCCTCTTTTCAACAGCCCTTAACTCCAAGAGCTAACTGCAACAAGATCTTCGGTATAGCTAAACCATATAACAGTAAGTAGGAAATACAATACAAAACAAGGTTGCTAGGTTTGAGATAAGATAAACTTGATATCAAAATGTCAGAATGGCTGGAAATGCAAAAGTTATAAATACTGAAGAATTGGTATAATAATTTTTTAGGGGGTAAAGTAGGCTATACATAAATATAGGCTTTTTCTTGTAAGAAATATACACTATTAACATATTATTGTAAGAAATGTGTTTTCTTGGGAAATATGTTTTGTGATTTTCATTATCTCTATTAACAGAAAATGTGGAAAACGTCAAATATAGTAGCAGTAATAAACTAAAAATTACTGCTAATGATTATATTTTTAATAGTAATAATCATGGCTACTACTACTACTACTGATAATAATGATAAAACTAGTTTGGTATAATATATAATCAGTCTAACATATAGTTTTATTCAGGTGGTTCAAGACTGGCAGTACCACCATCTCCACGAGTAGCATTTCACCATGAAGGAAGTTCCGGAACGGAAGTACAACCTTCACCACGAGTAACACTACGTCCACTGCGTCAGGATGGCAGTACAAGTATGGAGGTGCCACCCTCTCCACAAATAACATTGCGTAAGGATGGTAGTATAAGGGCAGTACTACCCTCTCCCTCAGTAACACTTGGTCAGGATAGTAGTATAAAGATGTCAGTGCCTCCCTCTCCACTAGTGACGCTTCGTCAGAATGGGCGAGGTCATGACTTTCCTGAAGACTATGATTTCACCAGTAGCCAGGTCAGAGGCAGTAGGTCGAGTCAGTTTCCTTTCACCCAAGAGGTGAAGAAGGTGGCCTACCAGAAGGTTCCAGGGAGAGGAGGGCAAACACAGCTAATCTTCCAACCTATTTGATTTCTCCTACTGGGGGGGGGGTCCCATTTTCACAAGGAAGGTGTCGATACAGGTAAGAGGTTTCTCCTGAGTCAGTTAATCTTCCAACCTATTTGATTTCTAGGATCTCTCTCTTGTCAGATTTTCACTACATGGAATCACTAAGCCCATCAAACAGACTTGATTTTTTTCGCAACCAATTTATTTTTTAGCCTATTTGATATCTAGGAGGTATCTCCTGCAAATGTACCATTTTCGCAAAACAACGTGTCAGCATATCCAGTGAAACATGAGTTTCTCTACAATCTTCTGGTTGTCTCTGTCAATGTGCAGTTAATAAAATATATTCTCACGTTTATAATTTAAAGAATCTGGTTTCCAAGACTGCCACAGTTTATTTTAGTAGAAAACATATGCTTATAAAGGTAGCTGCAGTGGTGAATATCTGGACTGAACGATCGGTTACGAAGGGTGTCCAGTCAAAATATAAATAACCTCTTTCAATTTTCTTTTAGTGTGTTGGAGATTTTGTTATTTGAAGGTCAAAACTTTATTTGTGTTTGTGTGTAAAGCTGGAGGAGTAGCCTTTCTTTATAGCCACCACACGTTCAGCAACATTCTTCTCAGGGTCTCCCCTACAACCAACCACCACCACTGCCACTAACACCACCACAACCACCACCATTACTACTACTACTACTACCACCACCACTATCACTCATTCCAGGACTAAAAATTCGAAATGAAAGGCGAATAAAATAAGCAATTATACAAGCAACATTCATTCTTTCATCTCTGATTATAGACCCACACATTTGTCATATATTTTATGTCGAAGATTTTCAAGTTTATAACTTTTTTTTTACCTAACAATGGAGATATTATAAAACTGATTTGTTAAATGCTCTATCCATGATAATATAGACATGATTTGATATCCATAATCGTTTTTTCACTTTTGGACTATGAAAATGTTAAAATTATTATTTTGTTTGCTTACAGGTTGCTAAAATCATTATTTATGCATCAAATGTAGTTATACGTACATATATATCAAATCCAGAAAAAAAATATTTTTATAGAATATATTTAATTTATTTAATTTACTTTGTATAATTTGAATTTAAAATTTATAAATAGAAATTTTGTGGAATATTTTGATGTACTTTGAAATTTTATTTATGGTACAGTATTCACTTTATAAATCTGCTTTTGGGCGAATTCTAAAGAATTTTTTGTTTATTTTGAAGGCATTGTAGAGAAATTTTAGAGAACAGTAGTCACCATATATTCCTTACTTACTATAAATTGGAATGTTTATTTTGTGACATGTACACACTTAGACTTGTACTGAGGACATTAAAACCTACATACCCATCCAGAAACTTATATACAACACCTTAGTTTGATCACATATTAAATCAAATGTTATGATTTATAGTTTGTATGTTATTATTTACCCCTTCGTGTTTTCTTATTTGTTTTATTGTATTCTTTTAACATTATACAAATTTTCTATTTAACAGTGAACAACGGCAGGTAACAAAAACGATTTAAAAATAAATTCAATTCATGACTGGGCAGAGGAACGACTGAAAAGCCAAAATGCCTTCCCAACTTAAAAATTTAGCATAATTATGAATAAAATTGCACTTGTATGATTGAATGCAAATCCACTGAACACCCGAGTTAAACTTAGTTATCTAGCTTAAAAAAAAACTGCCTGGTTATTTGTGAATTGTTCCAGTCAAGGTATTGTGACTTTTATTCAGACATTACAGAAGTAAAAGTTTTGAGAGTTAGCCTTTGCGTGGGCCGTGAAAGTTAGGAACCATTTTAGCGTACCGTTTTCCTGTGGGTGTAGCTGGATTGGGGTGAGTAGCCACCACCCTGGACCTAAAGGTGTTGACTGCGCTCAGGGGAACACCTCTCTGTTTAGCTCCTTTAGCTGGTATCTTGTGCTTGGGTGGTGCTGCTGGCTTGAGTGGTTCTTCTTGCTTGGGTGGTGCTGCTGGCTTGGGTAGTGCTGCTGGCTTGAGTGGTTCTTCTTGTTTGGGTGGTGCTGCTGGCTTGGGTGGTGCTGCTGGCTTGGGTAGTGCTGCTGGCTTGGGTGGTTCTGCTTGCTTGGGTGGTGCTGCTTTCTTGGATGGCTGTGAGGCTGCAGCCACGATCAAATCGACCAGTTTGAGGCCCATCTCTGGTGCATCAATGGGAAGCTGGAAGGAATCAGTGTGTAAGTTGCTGAGTAGTGTCCTGCCACTTTCAAGACAGGAGCTACCAAAGTTTACAGTCAAATGAAATGGTCTTTATATAAAAAAAGGTTTTGATAACCTGGTAAATTGTTTATCACATTTTAATAGCTTTTTTACGCTTTGCTGTTTCTCACACACACATATACATGCTGTCATGGAGCTATAGATATACATTGTTGTTTTTTTTGGCTGCTTAATAAGGTTTATGTTATCGACTGTACATTTGTTATGAGTGTGATGCAGTCCACCTGTGCATTTACATAAAAAACGCTGTAGCCTTATACCTGGAGTTTACCTGGAGAGAGTTTCGGGGGTCAATGCCCCCGCGGCCCGGTCTGTGACCAGGCCTCCTGGTGGATCAGCGCCTGATCAACCAGGCTGTTGCTGCTGGCTGCACGCAAACCAACGTACGAGCCACAGCCCGGCTGATCAGGAACTGACTTTAGGTGCTTGTCCAGTGCCAGCTTGAAGACTGCCAGGGGTCTGTTGGTAATCCCCCTTATGTGTGCTGGGAGGCAGTTGAACAGTCTCGGGCCCCTGACACTTATTGTATGGTCTCTTAACGTGCTAGTGACACCCCTGCTTTTCATTGGGGGGATGGTGCATCGGATAATAAATCGGATAATAAAGTTTACTCTAAAGTGTATATATGCAAAGAGATATTCGAGTGATTAGTGTTTAAATAATCAAGGTCTAAGTTACTGGTGAACTTTCATCACGCAAGTAGTCAGTGGTTTGATTATGTATTAAGTACTCGAATATTAAGTTAATAAGCTAAACTGACTATAAGACTTCACTACCACTCTTGAATACACTGATTTATATATAGTGTGTTGTACAGTTTGTATGACCTGTACTAGTTATGGTTTACCTTATTATAATATTTTCATGTTCATCAAACCGGAAGTCGGTCATAATCGAGATAATGGTTTTTGTTTGGATTGAATTACTGCATTCACGAGGGAGCGCTAAACCAGTCTGGATCATGCAGCGCCTGGGGGAATGGGGGGGCATTAAAGTTTGATGTAAGGAGAGCACAGGTCCAATTGCTTGGGTTAAACTAGGAAGCCTCGCTCTTTAAAAATAATATTACAGTAGTTAAATATTATTGGGTTTAAAGTTATAACACAATTCAAGGGAACCTTGAAGGATGTGGTAACCTTGATGCCGGTGAAGGACTTGATATAAGGAATTTGAAGCTACCTTCTTCCTTGGATCAAACTGTTCACCTCCCATTCCCCAGGTGCTATATGACTTGAGAGTTGACTGGTTCCCAGTGAATTTAATCCTAATAATGCCTCACGTTGTCAAAACTGACGGACATTTAATTTCGACACTAGGCTAGCCGCAACAGTCACAATGGTAGCTCCATCTAGCGATGCAACGATAAATGACGCATCTGCATTAATGGAAACTCCTACAGTACCCCTCTCAATTTTAGAATTTATATGTAGTAGCTGAAATTTTTCTACCAATGTATCACGGGACAAATTGTTCATGATCACATCCCCACCATGTGACACTGCAATTAATTTCTTAGTTTTCTGGGCGGTAGACACCTTTAACGAGGGTTTTAGCTGGATCTGTTGTATCAGTCCGACAGAAAGTTTTCATTTTTGAAGCAGTTACTCGTCCTGCACAAATTATTTTCTGAACACATTTATACGTCGACTAAATAATATGAAATATTTACGTGAATTACCTTTACCCCGACGACGCTTTTGTCATTTATCATCGTTTTTCGTTCGCAAATCCAGCCACACAAACTGATTTTATGCATTCAGGTTTCTTTTAGGCTTTAAAATCACCAAATATACACGAACTTGGTGAGCAAATTAAATCGGTCACGATGTGGATTTACTGCTGAAAACGCTACTTAATATGACCACAATGACTATATTCATCTGAATCTTCCATATTTATTAGGTTTAATTTTTGCATAGTTTATTATTCTTTTCCTGCACATCAGAACAATATCTTTACTTTAAAGCTACTGTCTTTCAACTTTTTGGGAAGCTTTAATATTTTTTTGTTATTTGACAATAATCTCATTACTCAAACATCGCTAATATGGCCGCACATCCCGGTTACTGTGCTAATAGCACTCATCATAGTTACTGTGATAATAGCACTCATCATAGTTACTGTGATAATAGCGCTCATCACTATTACTGTGCTAATAGCACTCATCCCAGTTACTGTGATAATAGCGCTCATCACAGTTACTGTGCTAATAGCACTCATCCCAGTTACTGTGATAATAGCGCTCATCACTATTACTGTGCTAATAGCACTCATCCCAGTTACTGTGAGAATAGCACTCATCCCAGTTACTGTGATAGCGCTCATCACGGTTACTGTGCTAATAGCACTGATCCCAGTTACTGTGATAATAGCGCTCATCCCGGTTACTGCTAATAGCACTCATCCCGGTTACTGTGCTAATAGCGCTCATCCCGGTTACTGTGCTTATAGTGAGGTATGTGCAAACATCAGTGTGTCGAACAAGAACAATTTGGCAACATAACTGTCGTGTCTAAGGGCAATGTGTGGTGTAAATATTATGCAGAGAATTAGTAGAGTGGAAATTAGGAGGTGTGGAGTTACTGAAAGTATTCAGAGGGATGTGAAGGTGGTTTGGTCATTTAGAGAGGGTAAAGGAAGATGACTTGGAGGGTGTATAACTCTGTAGAAGAGGAGTAGGGGTTGTCCTAGGAAAGGATAGAGGAAGGGGGTAAAAGAGGTTTTGTATACAAGGGGCTCAGACATGCAGCAGGCATGTGTGAGCGTGTTACATAGGAGTGAATAGAGACGAATGGTTTTTGGAACCTGACGAGCTGTTGGAGTGTAAGCAGGGTAATATTATGTGAAGGGATTCAAGGAAACCAGTGCGTCGGACTCGAGTCCTGGAGGTGAGAAGTACAATGCCTGCACTTCAGAGAGGGTCTGGGATATTGCCTGTTTGAAGTAACATCTAAACTGTCGCATCTGAGCGCCTCTGCAAAGACAGTGATTATGTGTGAATGATGGTGAAAGTGTTTCTCTCTGGGGGGTCGCCCTGCCTCGGTGAGAGATGGCCGACGTGTTGAAAAAAAAATGTAAAGATGGCTGTAGTGTTGGTTATTACTGCGCTGGGGAGTCTGAAACGCACATGAGGAGCATATTGGCAGTGTCTTGTGCAGCAACACGCTGTGAATGCATTTTACGAATATAGCAACACCTGATCTCATCCTGAACTATGTGGCAGGACCAAATTTAAAGTAGAGTTTCAAGAGACCAATTCCGGACGCCTTATAAGGGTCAGCACACTGAGCATTATTAATAGGTAGTAACGGCAAATATCCATTGGTGTATATACATACAGATACATACTTCTGGCATGTATACACAGGTGTATATACTGATTGAGATCAGTCAAGAAACAAAAGCAAATGACTAATTGTTAAGGCAAAAACTTTAATTTTCTACCATAACTCAGGCAACATCTCTTATTGATTTTGTGAATTTCCAAAATTTCTGTCAAGTTCTCAACCAAGAAGGTGTGATTTTTACCCTAAAGAGGAAGATTTACCCTTCGAAAGACGTCTGGCAGTGTGTCCCCTGGCGGCAGATGGTCACCCCTTGCCCTTCTCTTATCCCTGCAGAAGAAGGCTTACCTTACACAAGGTTTAACCTACAGAGGAAGGCTTACCATGTGTCCAGAACGATAGATGGTGTACAGAGCGAAGTTTCCTGAGGACTGGACGGTAGCGGCGGGTGCGGAGTAGCTACTGACGTGGACGACTCTGGTGCCTGCAGCCGAGAAGTTGACCTTGTCGGGCCACTCCATGTTCTCGATCCACCGGTATGTGCCTGCACATGAAGTGAAAATATTTGTTTATGTAAGAGAATGAAGAAATGTGTAGTGAATTTAGCTTTTGGGAGACGAAGGGAAGCTTATTTTAGGTATTTATATATATTTGATCTTTTTTAATAGTTTTCTAGTGTTGCGATCCAGAGAGGAAATGCCTGCAGCATCCTGGGCACGCGGCCCACCACAGGGGAGCTGGACGAAGTATTCGAGATGTAGCTCTGAGTTACCTATGTTGTTTTACTTTCTGTTGTATTTTTGTGAATGTTTGGCCAATGTATTTTGTCTTTAAATAAAAGATACTTGAAATTTAGGGGGTGGTAGGAGAAAATTCTTAAACAGCGTCAGGGAGAACCTTGAGTTTTCCCTGAAGCAAGTTTATTCTTTTCTCTGAGGATGAGGGTCCCTAGGACAGTTCTAGAGGTGGTACCTCCCTATATATATATATATATATATATATATATATATATATATATATATATATATATATATATATATATATATATATATATCACCCTGCCTCGGTGGGAGACGGCCGACTTGTTAAAAAAAAAAAAAAAAATATATATATATATATATATATATATATATATATATATATATATATATATATATATATATTATATATATATATATATATATATATAATATATATATATATATATATATATATATATATATATATATATATATATATATATATATATATATATATATATAAACACTGATCTCTGGCTGAAGGAGACTCGAACCCACGAACCTTGGAACATGGTACGCGGTGTTTGTGTATATTTCGCCTGTTCTTGCGCATTCCTTGCATTGTTAAATTATCTAGTAAGGCTGATGCATGCAGGGGATGAGATGAAAAGCTGTAAGCCTTCTCCCTGAAAGCTGGCTGCCTTGGATCAAAGTCTAGCGCAAGCTGGACTCCAAGGTATTGGTCCAGTGTGGGTAGATTGGTAAAGCACTGCGTACCTTGTTCCAAGGTTCGTAGGTTCGAGTCTCCTTCAGCCAGAGCTCAGTGTTTGTGTATATTTCACCTGTTCTTGCGAATTCCTTGTATATATATATATATATATATATATATATATATATATATATATATTATATATATATATCACCGGATTTTTTTTCACTATTTTTCATGGATCATTATTAGTGTTGATTATTTATGTAATAACCTTGTATTTTTTTTTTTTTTTTTTTTTTTTTTTCAAAATTTTCCCTGTCCTACCTGGATAACAGCTTTGTCGAGTGAGGCATAAGAATTAACAACTGGGCATCTACACTGCAAAATGAATTGTTTGCCATCCTGATGACACTAAAGCTAACTTCACACTGAGCTTGACTCTATCATCATTACTGATTCTATGTCATCACTGAAGGTTCTTGACTCATATAATGACTCCAACAACATGAGCATTGGAGAAGCCAGGTATAGATACTAAAAAACCTGGGAAAAAGGAATTAATGTACAGTTGCTATGGATCCCATCACACATTGGATTACCGCTTCATGATAAAGTTGATATGTTAGCCAAGAAGAGTACCCAGAAGGAGAATGCAGAATATCACTTTGGTATATCTGTGTCTAGCATTAGGAATAACATTAAGAGAGAAGTAAATAATGGAAATGAATGTTATAGGAATGCAATTAGAGGCCTGAGTAGATCTATCACCCACTATGATACCATGAACGTAGATCAGAATGTTTATGGAGCAAGTTGCAATGTGAACAGACTGTAAACATAAATCCAGATGTACATTTGTTAACCCTTTTGGGGCCTAGTTCCTAGGTCTTTTGTGTATCCATATGCTCTTGCGCTACCATCCACAGGATGGATATGGAGTGCACTATAAACTAGCCACTTCGTTGGGAAAATTTAAAAATTCTGCCTGGGTGACATGCAGCTTAGTAGGAGAGTTCAGCTCAAAATCGAAAGAACCCGAGCTCGATTCCAGGGCGGGATGAGACGAATCGTTGTGTCTCCTTACACCCGCTGCTTCACCTATATATCAATAAAATTGGTACCTGGCAGTTAGTGGTCTTATGTTATCGTGTGTTACAATAAACTACGCTGTGACTTTCTTTGAAATAAATATGTGACTTTCGATGGTTGAAATAAATCACACTGTGTGTGGGTTGTATTAGATTGGAAAAAGTCTCACTATATAGCTTTCCTGTGCTATCCTGGGTTAAAAAAAAAATGTTAACCTCTGAGGATGGTCTCGTGAGGACGACACTAGTCTTGCCTGCTCCATTGAGAGCTGGACCAGGCAGGGTGATAAGTTTTATACAGAAAGGGCGCTTTGTCAGGCAAATGGAGAGGGAAAACTTAAAGATAGGAAAGAAAAGAGAAGCCAGTATTTTTAAGGAAAAGGAAGGACTGAGGATCAAGAAAAAAAGTTGTAGTGTCACAGAGGTTTGGTTGCACTAAGTGAATTTAAAAATGGCAAGAAGGACATCTTCAAGGTTTGTGTGTGCGTGTACTCACCTATATGTGGTTACATGGGTCGATTCATAGCTCCTGACCCCACCTCTCCACTGGTCGCTACTAGTTCCTCCCTCTCCCTGCTCCATGAGCTTTATCGAACCTCATCTAAAACTATGTATGGTTCCTGCCTCCACTACATCACTTGCCAGACTATTCCACTTCCTGACAACTTTGTGACTATGTGTGTGTGTCTGTTTGTACACAAGGTGTACACACAGAGACACACACACGTACGTATTGAGAGTGGTTGGTGAGTTACCTGGAGTGTCGCAGATAAGGTCAAGGTTACCACTGAAGACGTTAACATGAAGGTCAGTCTCGGTTAGCAGCCTCACCACTGTGGACACAAAATTATATTAGTCTTATTAGGTGAAATGGTGAACCCGTGTAGGTCATTCAGTACAAGGAATGGTGGAGGATCGATCCTCTGTCTGCTAAGCACGACGTAGCCTCCTCACTGCATTCTCCTAGTTAATCCATATGAAATGCACTGAGTAAAGAGAAGATTTCTGATATATATTCACCACCCACCGGAATCTACGACGGGTTTCATAAAGTCTCCTGCAAGACGGTCGAAGACATAGCCTCCCTGGGAGTCCCAGATGACGCTGTCTGGCACGCCCCACTTCTTCTTCTGAGGTCCATTCATGAAGCTATACAAAGTCTCTCCTACGATCTTGCTATTGAGGCGACCAACGTGGTTCTCGTAGAGTTGACCTGTAACCATTGTTACCTGATATTATACTCGGCACTATATTAAGATATGATGCACACCCCTTATAACTATTATACATAAGAAATATACAGTATACGCGGGAAATGTATATGCGATTATGTTGCATGAGAATTTAAATTGTAATCGTACTGGAAAGTGTATTCCTCTGATATTTCTGACTCTAAACCACATTTTTTTATAGGGATTGACTGCTATATCAGGTACTAACGGATGGCAGGTGTCATGAAGGAGAGGTCAGTGTGTTGAGTAAGGCTCTTGCTCTTTGCCCGGTAGATATCATCGATGGCCAGCACATTGTAGAAGTTGACATCGTGGGCCACCGTGGACACGACGTCCTCAGTAGAGCTCCACTGGTTGGTGGCCTCGATCCACTTGCCAGCGTCAACTGCTGCTTGAGCCTTGGCTGCAGACGCATCGATCTCCTCCAGCCCTTCCCGGTTTACGAAGCCCTGCGAGATACCGCAGAGATAGACACATTTTATATTATTGCTTATGCGAAGCATTAAACACGTGGAAGTTATTCAACTCAAGGAATAACGGCGGTTTGATTCTCCCGTCCCGACATTGCGGCCCTGTAAGATACCACAGAGATAGATAACATTTGAATACACAAGTACTGCAGTATGCTAGGCAGGTTACCTATTACCACGAGCCATTTACATGAGCTTTGCGATAGTTCTTACACTTTATCAAGATTTTTGAATACAACTTTAATATTAAAAGTCTTAAGAAGAGAAGGCATATCAACCAAGTTTTCATGGTAAGGGAGAACCAACATATTTTTAGTTGAATAAGGCTGGTTGTCCCTTTTTGGATTATAAAAAGTGTTTCTAGCAACTTTAAAAGACAACCAGCCTTATTCAACTAAAAATATGTTGGTTCTCCCTTACCATGAAAACTTGGTTGATATGCCTTCTCTTCTTAAGACTTTTAATATTAAAGTTGTATTCAAAAATCTTGATACAGTAAAAAAACTTTTGATAAAGAATTCCCCCCAAAATGCTGATGGATGTGTCTATAAGATTCCTTGTAAAATTTGCGATAAAGTTTATTACGGTCAAACTGGTAAAAATCTCGAACTAAGATTAAAACAACATAAATATAGCATTAGAACTGGACAAGATTCCAATGCTCTATTTATTCATGTAAGAGATTTTAACCATCCAATTGATTTTCAAAAAGTTGAGAAAGTAGTATCAAGCAAGTCCATGGTCGACAGGAATATAATTGAATCTTGTTTCATAAAAAGCAGTTTTGACAATAATATGAATATTTCCTTTGGTTTATATAAATTAGATCCATTTATAATTAATAGAATTTGGGAAGAATTTAATAATACACTGGACAAATAATAATTTTTAAATTTTCTTGGGTAGAATAGTTTGTGGGTGAGTTGTGCAAAGGACCTATCCAAGTTGGGTCGCCGCGCGTCACGTGTTTTAACCGTTGTGGGATCTGATAGTGAGGTGCTGGCCAGACCCCTTATATAGCTTCCTTGGATGCTTTACTTTCATAGTTCCTTGATAATGTGAGTAGTCACGAAAGCGCTTGGAATTTCTCTATTCTTTCAGAGTGGTTGTTTTGCATAATATAATATATATATATATATATATATATATATATATATATATATATATATATATATATATATATATATATATATATATATAATATATATATATATATATATATATATATATATATATATATATATATATATAATATATATATTATATTTTATATATATTATTATATATATTATATATATATATATATATATATATATATATATATATATATATATATATATAATATATATATATATATATATATATATATATATATATATATATATATAATATATATATATATATATATATATATAATATATATATATATTATATATGCACACACACATGTATATCTTGGAAAATGTGTGGGTCATTCAATACGTAGTGGAGGTTCGATCCTCTGTTCACAGCTCTAGTAGAAGAACTCACCATCTGATAGAGGAATGTGCCCCAAGTGTTGATAGAATCCATGGGGCTGATCCAGGAGTCTCCCAGCGCTACTCCTTTGAAGTCGCTAATCACTTCTCCGTTATTGATCGCCTGTGTGAGATAACCTATATATCACCGACTGGCAATAAGGCATGTGACTAATGATAATTTCACAATAAAATGAAAATATCTGAAAATAAAAATCACTATTAACACAACATTTTTGTGCCATGTCACATTTCAACTAAAGAGGCTTTGTGTTATGGCGCTTCGATATTGAATAAAAGTTATTTTTTTTTCAGTAATAGTTTTACTATCGCGCAAGTGAGTAAATCAAGACACATCGTTCGTATAATCCATAAAGTATTTTAATTTTACTTTAATACTAGTAAGTTTAAGATTATTTTAAAGCAATGACACGTGATAATTAGGTGTTATAATTTACACTAACCTCGTATAGTGATAGTGCAAAGTCAACGGCCATCTTGCCGCCGTAAGACTCGCAGAAAACGAAGAAAGGCATCGTCTGCAGGTCAGTATTCTGACTGAAGACTTCCTTCACCAAGACCACGAGGTCGTCAGCGATTTGTGAATTGTCAGTGGTCAAGTTAGTTAGAGAGTCGACATAACTGTAGCCTGTACCTACGGGGTTGTCCACGAACATCACATTGGCACTCTTTGTCTGTCAAGGACCAGGGAGAAACAACTTTTACTTCCAAGTACTACACAAATAAGAAACACATTGTGGTTAGTCTGTATTCTACTCTTGGATAAATATGTTGATTTACTTAACGTTACATTAGACATACACAAAGCAAGAATGTAATAATTTACATTTAGTTATTAATGTATATCTTGCTAACTGACGGTGCAGTGGAAATGTATATTTGTGATTGCTATAAAGTAAGGCTTTTATTAAAAAAAATAAAGCATTGTTCAATGAATATGATTGATGAAGGTCTATTGATCCTAGGAATTGGAGTTATTCTTCCTTTCCCAGTTGCTGTAAGATCCTACGGGTTTAGTGCGTCCCCATGAAATAATAAATGAATTAGTATTATTAAGTAACTATGCTACCATAAACCTTTACGCCGGTAATTTCAAGGTGTGGCAAGAGTAAGGAGCAAGTGACTGACCCAAGCATACGGTCTGGTGTTGTTGTTTATGTCTCGAGGTCCCAGCTCCTCGAAGTTGCCGTAGCCAACACCTGAAGAACCAGGTCCTCCCTGAAGCCACATGATGAGGGGGTATTTAGTGTAGTCGTCCTGTTGGTCAACGTGATACATCACCCAGAACATGTGGGCACCAGGACGAACATCCACATACCCGAATTCTTCCTCCAGAGGCACACCTGCGCCACCTTCAAAAAAAAAATACATCAGTTTCACTATGTACAGTAATCACAGGGATCATTTTAACTGTGGCTGTATGGGTTTAGAGCATTTTTTTTTAAATGCAATAAATTGAATCTTGATACCCATGCGGTTCTGGCAAAAGAGCTGTTGAATAAATGATGGTGAATGTCTTTCCTCTTTTTGAGGTCACATTACTTGGGTGGGAAACGATCGACGTGACAAACAAATCACAGCTTCATAACTTATAAAATATTTTCATTGGAGTCATACACATGCACAAAATATTTTAAGATTAAACAGTTGAAATTTGTTATATATTTTATTTAGAACTTGATATACAAAATACATACATAGGCAGATTAAATATACCTGAACATGAATTATTTATCTTACTATTTCTACCCGTCCTCCAAACAACCAGTTTGTTTTCTAGCCTGTTGCAATGTATCAGATTTGACATGAGCTAAAACAAGACCAAAATTAAATATTATTCTAGGTTTGTTTTGGTTAGGTAAAGTTAAGTTAGATAAATTCAAATTCAGATTTATATTTATCTTACGCTGTACAAACAGTGTAGTTTACGTAGATTAAAACAAGTGTTTGGCACAAAAAAACACTAGTATGCAAATGCATTTCGGAATAGGTTAGGTTAGGTTATCTTATCAGTAATTAATTTAGTTTTTTATACAGATAACCGCCAATAAGTAAATAATATAAACTGAAGGGTAACGTCTGGCAGGGGAAACACATCATCATCGATTAAACAGTTAGAAATCATAGGCTTTTAGCCTATTTTTTTTCTATGCGGGAATTAAATTTGCATATATACTCGCGCGCGTGTACGTATAATACGCATGTGTGGACTGACATGCAGCTCTAGGCAAGATAACATTCTCCTAATCGCCACATGACAGTGTACAGTACTTCACTTGTTCCTTAATTCGGTTATCTCATCTTATCACTATGATAGCAACTGGACACCTGAGTCTAATCTAACCTCACCTCTTTAGTCTTATCAAACACCTTGTAGTCTTGTTCTACTGACGTCAAAATAAATTACTGTAACATAAAAGAGTGGTCAGAAAGTAATAACACTGGTTTGTTGATAAAAATCAGACAGGCATTACAGTGCATCTCCGTAGATTTGTAACACAG